CCACAAGAATATTCTTATACAATCTATTCTGCAGGAACACATAATATGCTAAAGAATATTTAAATTCTCTCATTAGGTCAATAAAAACAATAGTGGTTAGCAGGTTGAGGATGTAGCTCAGTGCAAGAGTGCTTGTCTAGCAGGTGCAAGGCCCTTGATTCAATCCTTGGTACAGTGCCCTCTCAAAAAAAAAATGTAACTAGCAAAACTCTGCTGAAGTTATTACAGATACAATTCTACTAATTCAAAGTAATAAGAAATAAATTTGGTTTTCTTTCATCAAGTACATGACAATTCAATTCTACAATGTGCCTCTATTACAGATACAAAGATAAACTGGAATGTGAAGGTGGTACCTGAATATATTTCTACACTGAAAGCAACAAGAAAACACATTATGATTGTGAAAGGTCTCCAGAAAGTTTTGTTTGTGGGAACATACAGCTTTTACATATAGAAATGTTCATCTTCTTTTTACCCTAGAAAACAATTCCTTTAAAGATCACTTTTCCCCAAGATTCCCTCAATGACCTCATCTTCTGACTTAACATTCCCCCTAATATACAATAACGCAAGTGGTTTCTGTAATTCCTTATAGCTCATAACTGCCAAGCTCATAAATCTAACAAAGAACTCTCTCCAGCATTCTTCTGGATCTGAACATCTCCACCTGCATCCCATAGGCATTTTTAATGCAATAAACCCTAGACTCAACTTATTTTCCAAACTTCCTTTCCCCTCTAACATCCATCTTTCACTCAAACTAAAATCTAAAAATCATGCTGAACTACTCTTCCTGTCTCATTTCTAACCCTAAAAGCTCCTCACTCCCCTTTCATTTATTCATCTCCTTCCTCACTGCAGCCGGCCTTGTGTACACCTGCATATCTATCTCTTGCCCAGACTTCTACAACAGCATTCCACATGGCGCTCCTATGCATAGTCTCCCTTCTCCCTAAGCCTGCCAGAGGAATCAGAAGAATCTTTCTAAGACAGATTCTTCAATATTCTTCACTGATTTTTATCATCAACATGAGTTCCTGCATGAGTGTTCTCCTATGACCTGTGCAGTCTGATGCCTGCACACCTCCAGTCTATACAGCACACTCTGACAACACCGCAGTACCTGTGTTTCCTAGAGCACACCACGGTATCTCACATTTCTGTGCCTTTGCTCATCCTGCTTGTGTTCCACCAGCAGCACCCACATTAGCTTGTCAAGTTCCTTCACTCTAAAACCAATATATTAGATCTTTTCATCTCTATTCCCTAACAGAGGGAGGTAGTGCCTTCAGTACACTATTTTCTACACTGTGCATTCTTTTTTTACTAAAATTTGAATGAAACTGGCATTGTAGAAGTTGGTGAAAAAGTAGATCTTTAACAGCTTACAAATTATAAAACCTTCCAAGAACAAAATGAGTCAACCAATAAGTACACTGAGCCTTTAAAAATAAGTAAAAATCTCTGCTCCTTAGTTAGGTATTCACTGATTGTTGGGAGTAATAACAGGTAGACAAATATTACTAGACGATGCTAAAATACAAGTAGATATAAAGAATGGGTGGCGTGAGGTATCCAACTCTGCGTGGCAGCAGTTAAGTCTTAACAAAAGTTACACATATATACACATGTACATTTTATGTATATGTCTCATCTCTATCATGACTGCTGCTACACACTGTATGGGCAGCAGGCAAACATATGATATGTAGATATATATGTATACGCAACTTTGGAATTAGGTACTGAAGAATGAGTAGGAGTATACCTGGCAGAGACAAAAAAAAAAATTCTAAGCCGGGCATCTCAGGCCTGTAATCTCAGGACTCTGGGAGGCTGCAGTAGGAGAATGGCCAGGAATTCAAAGCCAGACTGGGCTAAATAGTGAGTTCAAGACCATTCTGAACTTTATATAGACAAACTCTGTCTCAAAAATAAATAAATAAATAAATAAATGCATTCTAAACAAATGGAAAAGCATTAATAAAGGTGGAAGAAGTGCTGTGAAACATAATCATCCTCATTTGGGAAACAGAGATCTTAGGTGTCATGTGATCACAGAACCAGAGTGAAGGGCAGGGCCACAACAGGTGAATAATGCAATGAATGCCTATGAATTACTGAACTGAGCAGAAACAGTGTGTTGTGGACAAGCCTTTGGACACGAGAAGAAAGCAACCAGATTCCAGAGATATTTGGTGTTCAGCATTGTCTTCTGAATGAACAAATGAATGAATGCTCCACCTTGTGTGTTAATCTAGCTGGTGCTGTTCTTTCTTGAGAACCATCTGTTACCTTTCATCACGTGTCATAATGGCTCTATGTGCTTAATGGGGCATTTTTATGATTTCTGCCCAGTAACTGTTGCACAATGCTGGCTGACATGCCTTTAATGCAACAGCACATGAACATCTATATTTAACCTGTCATTTCTCATTTGGGCCTCAACTTCTGCTAATAACTAGAAAATAAATTAGTGTCCCTCAGAAAATCTACATCCCTATTATATTATTTAATCTCTACAACTTGCTTTTTGACTGTTGTCTCTACTTCTGAGTTTTGGTACTAGGTACTTAAAAAGCTAATGATCACAGTGAGCTATGTCATACCTTCTTAAAACTTCTAAATAATACCTGCTTAATACCTCAGAAAGAACTGATCTATTCCAAAGGCTGAGGATTTAGCTCAATGGCACCATGCCTGCTTTGCAAGCATAAGGTCCTGAGTTTGATCCCTGGTACGGGAAAAAAAAAATTACATGGTTTAAGAACTGATCTATTCCTAAAGAGAAATTTCAGAGGGCCAGGGATTTAGCTCAGTGGTTTCGCCGCCTGCTGCGTAAGCACAAGGACCTGAGTTCGATCCCTGGTACCAAAAAAAAAGAGAAATTTCAGAAATTGGTAATATATATTTCATTATAGAAATATTCCATATATGTGAATTTTCCCTGTGACTAGAACCTGCATGTTTAAATAAAACTTAAATTTAGGGATATTTCTGATAAAAATAATTTTTGTAAAATACATATACTTTCTCATCTCCTTAAATCAGTAATATTAAATCTTTTTGCTTAAAGTCTGAGACATAAATATTAATTATTGAATAAATGTTTTCCAGTCTATTAATTCCAGCCAGACTCTTTTATTCCTGAACCTGTATTTTACGGTTTTTCCTATACCTTATTTTGCATTTCAATAATCACTTCTAAAGATTCTAAGCATGCTATTTCTAGGAATGTTAGCCTGCCACAGATGGGAAAGTAGAAAGAAAAGCGAGTTTATGAAGACCATAATATTCACTTTAGAGAGCAGTGAAACAAGCTTAGGCCGAGTACCTGAGGGGTGTCCGTCCCATGAAGAGTGTGTGATCCTTTAGTCTGTGGACTTTGTGAACTAATTCTCAATACAAGAGACTCCTCTACTTTTTTCCAAACTACATCCAAGGGGACAAAGCTTACTAGATAAATAAATTCTAGAGGACTGATGGTAACAAAGGAGCAAAACAAGCCAGCCACATTGATTCCCCTTAATCGTTTCAAATTTGTCACCAACTTTAAAAAGCACAATTTAAAGTTTAAAAGAATAAAGTCCTTACTCCTAAAGTTCAGTGCTCTGCAATCCTTTGTAGATCCAATGCAGCTAAACCTTAGCTTACTCTTACATTTCGGATATTCCCGTTGGACCAAGTGTGCCTTTAGATATAAGGAAAGCTCCTACATACGTGGTCGGTGGGTGAGACTGTTACTTTTGATTTTGGCTAAGCCATAAAGAAGAACTGACCCACAAGTACTGGAAGGAAGACACTTGGTAACATGCTAAACAGATTTCTAAGAATCTTTCATGTCTCGGTCTTTGCTTGTACTATTCTGACAAATTTAATTGGTGTCATCTTATATGCACCTATTTGCCTCTCACCCAAAAGAATGTTTGTTTCCTGAGTCCCATTTATGTTGAATTAACTCTTATATTCCTCCTGCAAACAGTATCACAGAAACTTCCTGGGAAGAGATCATATTATATTCACCTCTTCTTCCTCTACTAAAACACCCTCTACATAAAAGTTACTCCATTAATTTGCTAAAAAATGATTTTGTGAGATTGTTTTCTTATATACATAAGTGCTTCATAGAAAAACTAGGTCGTGTTTTTGGTCTTTCACACTATGAAAAATTTTATTCTTTTATAAGATTTGTAAAAAAAGAAAAAAATTTATTTCTCTTCACTTTTGTAATACCAAAGTGATTTGCAAAGGAAACAGATATATCATCTGAGAAATTCTCCCCAGCCTTAAAATTTTCCCTCATTCACACCCATCCTTGGCCTCAGAGTACACTAGCCCCAAGCTACTGAGAAATATTTTGGGTGACCCACTGTTATTGATGAGAGGTGTCATTATGTCACTTCCTCAGTCTGGAGCAGAACAAACAGTAAGACTATGTTAAATTCAGGTTCTAATACTGTTGATTTTCCCAAATGAGGATAATTGCTTATATGCAAAGTCCTCTTTCTGTCTAAGAACACAGCATTTTAACCTAAAACATTCTGTAATTCATTAATAAAACATTAGCAACATAAAGTTACAACTTACACATGTTGAAATAATTACATTCACTTTATATTTCAAATTTCATGGCAAAATTTATGCAAAAATATTAACTTAAACTTTTACATTTATTTACAAATACATAAAAAGACAGCTGAAAAGGCTGGGGATTTAGCTGAGTGGTTCTGCCACCTGCCTCAAAAGCGCAAGGACCTGAGTTCGATCCCCAAAAAAAAAAAAAAAAAAAAAAAAACACAGCTGGAAACAGTAAGAGAAACCAAGCAGACTACCCAAAAGCTTCTTTTCCTTATAGAGCCTTCCTTTTAAGCATGCATAATTAAAGTAATCCATATTCCCCTGCAGCATCAAAAGGAACCAACACCAAGGCAGGGAAAAACAAAACTATTTTCAGCAACCCATAACCAAGCTGCTAAAACAAAATATACAAGACCCACAGTAACACTGGAGTCATTAAGAAGGTCCTGTCCTCTTGTTTCATTTTCAGCGTGTACTTTGTGGTAATGCTCCGACAAATCAATAGCAGTTATACATCTTTTCATACATAATGGACAGATGAAACCCTGTGAAATAACAACTTTTAGAAGGATATACAAGTTTTTTATAACCAAAATACAGACAATCCCAATAGACATAACAAGAAGAAATTAATATATCTGTTGTTACTACATGCAAAGAAAACTTTCAAGTAGGAACTGTACAAAAGATGAAAGATCTATCCAAAGTGAGAATACTAAAATTAGTTTCTATACTCACAATATATACTTGCACTGATTCAATTTTTTAAGTTACCCAGTTGCATTGGTAGAAATATTCTTTTGCTTGAGACAGTTTTCAAAATTTCTTTCTGTTTATAACACTTTGTCCTTACTTACCTGAGGCTTACAATAAAATTGGTCAGTCAGTTTTTATTTTAGATCAATAAATTGCTGGAAGGGGCAATAAATATCGTTTTGTGATATAATGTTCTCAAAAAGGAAATTATTTTAATGAAATCAATTTTTAATCTTTACCATATTCCATTACCCTAAGGACCCATTCTTGTCCACATTCATCATTTCCAATAGATGATCTTTCCTTCCACTTTTCTGAACCAAGCAAAACCATTTAAAACCTGTATACCTAACAATATATTTTAAAATGTGAGCTGCTACACTGATTGATGACTTGAGGTTCTGTCACTTAAGAATAACAGAAGGATGAGAGAATAAGGGAATTGAGAAAGCAAATAAAATATGCTAGTAAAGACAAAAGGTTATAATGGTCATAACATGGTGCATTTTGGTGTCATAATCAGATGTCAATTTAGGCTTCAATCAAAGCTAATTCTATATGACCTTCAGGAAATCATTTTGTTGAGTGTCAGTTTCCATATCTCTAAAATGGGGCCAATATTAGCACCTATTCTTCTAGAGATAGTGTATATACAAATGCTTAATATTGTGCCTGAGAATTTATAAATACTCAACGAATATTAACTGTCAGAGGATGTATGCTTAGAAGTTAAATGAAATTTTTTTAAATGATTTAGAAACTAGAAGAAAAGATGGTACTTAAAAGACTGTATTATTCATCAAACCCAAAGAAATTAAGTAGAGAGACTATGACAAGGAAAATTTTTGAAAGGGCAGACAATTATGGTAAAGACTGGGAGGCAAGGTTTTAGTTTCAGTTGAAACTGTTCTGCCTGGTGATAAAGTAGAAGGTACTGCTATGGAATTGAACACTGTAGCTAAAAAGAGGTAATAATGATCATTAGCAATGAAAACTTAAGGAACTGAGAAGCTTGGCCAATGATGGTGAACCTTTTAGAGACTGAGTGCCCAAACTGCAACCCAAAACCCACTTATTAATCACAAAATGTCAACACTGCAATTAAACCTGAATACTGAGGTTTTAGTTTAGGAAAAACAACTGTTATCCAATGCTCAGGTGCTAGGGCAACTTGGCTCGCAGGTGCACCACAGCACATGTGCCATGGGTTCACCGCCACTGGGATATTCCTTGAGTCACTAAAGTCATTTAGCATAATGAGAGGAAGTCTACTAACAAGGCTGCCAAGTGGGAGGCAAGACAGAGTAACACATAAGAGCTAGGCTTGAGCTTGAATCCGATTCACACCACTCTTGGCAGCTGTGTGACCTCATTTTCCTCATCTGTTATGTGGAATAACAATAACACCTACTTCCTACTGATCTCATGACAATTAAATGAGATAATACATGAAAAGCACTTATCATGGATCTTATACAGTGAAAACATTCAATAAATGTTAGTTATCATTACTATCATTATTCCTTTTGTTAACAGCCCTTAAAAGAGATCATTCAGAGAATGAAAGGAACATAAATTCATTTTTTTTTAACTGAAGAGAGTTGATCTGATAAACCACAGTCTTGAGGGCTTGATCTACAAATAATAATTCTTTAGAAGATTTTTTTGTTTGTTTTCTTTTTGCCACCAGAAAGAAAATGGTGTATTTCATTTTACTCCTTTGTTCACTGTAAGCTTCCATATACCCAATCATGCAATCACTTACACAAAGTATTTACAGTGTGATTACTCTGTTCCAGCTGCAATGCTATGGTGCTGAAAATACAATGGAAAATGAAGCATACTCCCTGGTCTCCAGAAGCCTATAGGCTTGAAAAAGTCACCAAAAATTTTTTAAATTACATTTTATATCCCACTAATCAGAAAATCTTATTACATGTACATTCAAAATATATCCAGAATCTCAGCACCTCTACTGTTACAGTCTGGTCCAAACTACCATCACCTATACAGGGATCACTGCAATAGCCTCCTAACCATCTCTCTGCTTCTACCCTGAGCCCATTAACAGCCTGTTTTCAATACAATCCCTAGTGTGTATCCAATAAAATACATGTACAAACCTTGTCATTTCCCTACTCAAATTGTCCACTGGCTTGGCATCTCAGTAAGAGTTAAAAACTAATGTCAGTACAACAGTCTATACAGCCCTTTATGAGTGGGCCTGATTTCCTCACTAAGCCAGTCTTCTCTCACTCACCACACTGCAGCTGCGCTGGCCTCCTGGCTGCTATCTACATGCAGACCCTCTCTTAGCTTAGAGACCTTCCACTTACTCCACATGCTTGGAACATCAATCACCCAAGAAATCACTGGACTCATTTCCTCACCTCTTTACTTCATTCTGAGCTGCCCACTTCTCAAAAAAGACTTCACTGAGAGCCACCTCAAACACTTTCCAAGCCTCCTTCCTTGCTTGATTTCTCTCAATAATATCAACTGTCAACCCTGGAACATTTTTAGTGTGTTTTGGCTTTTGCCTGTCCACCCCTTGAATGTAAGATCCACCAGGACAAAGGATTGGTTTTTTGTTGTTGTTGTTTTTGGTACCATTTTATTTTCTGCTATATCTCCAGCACCCAGAATAGCATTTGGCAGCCAGCAAATGAATAAATCTCAGAATAATAATCAATACCAAAGAGTCAGAAAATACAATTTCACATCAGCACATGGAAAAAGCATCTATCCCACATTTGAGTTGAGGAACATTTACTAGAAAGAGCAATATATGCAATAACACCTGAAGGATATCAGATGTTAGCCAGAAAAAAATAGTAAAAGCAAAAGGAATGCTATGGTCTGTATCTTTGTAATCCAAACACACAAAAAGATGTGCGTGCGGGCAAATCCCCAGAATGAAATTTTAAGCCCCAAGGTAATGGGATTAGGAGGCGCAGCCTTTGGGGAGATGAGCAGGTCGTGAGAGCACAGTCCTCATGGATAGGATCAGTGTCTCATAAAGTAAGCCCAAAGGAGCTCTTTCATCTATCTACCTATGAAAATTTGGGACAGCAAAACTGCTGGTGTCTTGATTTTAGATTTCCTATCTCCAGAACTTCGAGAAGTAAGTATTTGGTCTCTGTAACAGTCCAAACTAAGACAAACAGGTAAAGAATAAAGATGAGCTTATGCAAAAGTCCAGAGATAAGAGAAAACTTGGCACACTGTAAAAGCAGGCAAAATTCAATGTGCCTAAGGTTGATGAAGATGATAGGAAGCTGTAATGCTCTGGAAATGTAGCTCAGTGGCAGAGTGCTTGCCTAGCACTCATGAGACCCTGGGTTCAATCCCTAGCACCACAATAAATAAACAAATCAATCAATCAATAAAGCTATAAAGATAAGCAGAAAGTAGATCACAAAAGATAATTAATGAACTCTTTAGCTGGCACAAGCTAAAGAGTTTGGACCTTAATCTAATAAAAACTGGAAGCAGTCAGATGTGGTGGCACACACCTGTAATCCCAGCATTCCAGAGGCTGAGGCAGAAGGATCTCTGTGACTTCCAGGCCAGCCTGAACTTTCATAGAGAGACCCTGTCTCAAAAAAGCAAAAATCCATAAGGGGGAAGGTGAGATGACTCCTGTTCCAGTAGGAGGACACGACTGGACTATCTGAATAATTCTCTGGGCTACCAGGAACCTAAAACCCACTACTCATGGATAAACAAGTACGGCATCTGGTCTGTGAAAATGAGGGTTTGTTTAGGGGGTGTTATCTGTTAGAGCAGAGTACAGAAGAGAAATTGGGATTAGGCCATTTGAGACCCTCCTTCTGGTTTCACCAGATATCAAGGTACACTATGTGGCCTTAATTTTAGGTATGGTATTAAGTAGAATTGTCAAGAGCTGCTATATTGCTTTTAAGAGGCTTTTCCGCTGAGAGTAGTGGTAGCCACACATTGTTCTCAGTCAGCTTAAAGATGTTTTAGTTCAGAGATCCTAAAAAATATTTTAGTCTTATGTACGTTAAAACAGCAAAAGGAAACATAAAAATAAAAGACTAAAATATGTAACTTCCACATTAGCATAAGAACCCACATAATCCCAGCAGTGTATGCTACCACCTGCAGATTAATTACCAAAGGGACCAGCAAAGAGGGAGCAGAATGAACAGCTAAAGAGGTGGGAGAAAAGCAGAAGAGTGTAGTATCACAGGAGCACGAGGGTGAACAGTGAGAAAGAGAAACCCAAACCAAGGCAAAGAGAGAAGGGCAGAGAGGGAGAAGGGAGAGGGGAGTTGTATGCTATTCATTTTTTTTTTTAAATCCAAGCAAAAGGAACAAAAAACTTGAAACCGAAAAGACAGAAAAAGATGTACAAAATACTAATCAAAAGAAAGGTAGACACAAGGACAAAAAGTTCAATTCACCAAAAAGACATGAATGATCTAAGAAGAGAGCATGTGAAACGAGGGACTATAAATCATGTATGTGAGAAATCTGGCTTGGAAGCAACACAAATATATAGTACCTAAAGAAGGGACTTTGAGTCAAAAAAAAGATTTTTTTTTCCATTTTTTTGGTATTCTTTTCTTATTTTTGTATCGATTACACTGAACATATTCCTATGTTAATGGGAATAATTCACAATGGAGCTAAAAAAACTAAATTGGCAAGAGAAAGACAATAAGTCAGGAACGAGATAGAATGGAATCCAGAGAACTAGAGAACAGATTGAAATCTGATAGGCAAAGGCACCTGCCTTCCCTGGACTAAAATAAGAAAGCCCAGATAGAAGGACGGTTATATACTGAGTTCCAGGCCAGCCTGAACTACATAGAAAGACCTTGTCTCAAAACACCCTCAGAAAATAAATAAATAAATAAAATTTAAAATGCACTTTATCAATCTAACAACTAAACACAGATATACATGATTTAAAAGTAACATTCTAATTTGTAACAGACTTATGAGAACTTTCTTGCAGAGACAAACTTAAATCACCAGTCATTACTACAAATGTTTGTTAATTTTCCTTAAATAATAGTGAATTTTACTGCCAAACTTATTGTTTTCATACCTCTGAAGAGCTTTCATTATTGACATCCACTGTGTTTATAGGAGTTGTGGAAGAATCTAAATCAGAACCTTGAGAGCCAACTCTCCCAGGAGTCTGAAACACAGAAGAGAAAAAAAAAAAATTAAAGCAAATATTAACAATATATCCATTAGCCATGAAATAATGCAGCACTTTCATGTAAAAGTAGATGTCTTCACAATAATAATTAACAGTACTAACTATTCTTTATTCAAGACTGTCTAATACTGTATATATCAAGTTCTCTATAAGCATTCTCCTTTTCTTTATAGTTTATTTCTAACTACAATGTTCTGCAGTGCTCAACTGACTTTCACAAAATGTCTTATTTAATTATAATGATATCTCTGATAAAGGTAAAGCCTAAGTTATCTCTACAGAGGCGAAAACAGATTTAAAGCAGCTAAGTGACTCACTTATGACTGTACTGTTAACAACAACAAAAACAGAGGTCTGTGCACGCCCTACCGAGGTCCCCAGTCACGCAGAAGACACCGAATCACCCCATTGCAGACCAGCAGGTCTGGCCACGCCCTACCGAGGTCCCCAGTGGCACGGAACACACCGAATCAGCCCGCTGCAGACAAGCAGGTCTGTGCAGGCCCTACCGAGGTCCCGAGTTGGGCTGAAGACGCCCAATTACCCCACTGCAGACAGGCAGCCACCTGGTTCCACACTACAAAGACACAGAGGACCCCAGACCACCAGACCAAGGTAGTGAGTCCTGCTGCTCCCGGCTCAGAGGTAGGGGCTTCTGAGCCATCATCCCACTGCTCCTGGTCCAGAGGAAGGGGCTTCCCGGTCACCATCCCTCCCGCTGCTTCCAGCCCAGAGGAAAGGGCTTTTGGGCCACCTTCTGTCCAACTGCTTCTGGCCCAGAGGAAGGGGCTTCCGGGCCACCATCCCTCTCACCACTCCTGGCACAGAGGTAGGGGCTTCTGAGCCATCGTCCCACTGCTCCTGGTCCAGAGGAAGGGGCTTCCCGGCTTTCCCCTACACCAATGACAGACTCACTGAGAGAGAAATAGGGCAAATAATTCCTTTCACAATAGCATCCAAAAAACTGAAATACCTAGGAAT